GAAGTATTAATTAGATTTAAGATAACATGACCACACGTTTCAAATACTTCTTTCAACATTTTGGAATTAAGGATTTCATAAATAGTACATTTATTGTCCAACGACTTTACAATTACTCTCAATTCACTTGATGACAACAACTGAAAATTTGAAAATTGAGGATATATATTATAGTTACAGAAATTTCCTGTTATTTCAGTAGAGATGCTATCAACTATTTGAGTAATGCTACCTATAAAAAATATATTAAATTTACTTGCAATTTCAGTAACATTATATTCGATTTGGCGTTCATTGTTTAAATTAAATTCAATAAAATTTGGAAAATTTTGACTGTTAGTATTAATTAACTTTTTAAGAGTCTTCCACATTAGTCGAGAATTATCTTTTATATCTATCAATTTTATTAAAATAATATTGTTCTCTTTTTATTTTTAATAAATTTACAACTTTATTCCTCAATTTTTTAAATGCTCCCCATTTTTCATTTTTATCAGCACCAGAAGTGGTCTTAAATTCTTTATACATTTTATCCCTATCCTTTATTTTATAATGAATGTCTTTATCAAACCATGGAACATTACTTTTACACTGGTAAACTTGTATAGGCGCTACATTATTTATTACGGTTTGACAGTTCTTATAAAGTTTATATAGTATTTACATCAGTAGCTTAAATTCTACTGATTTCAATTTACTTCCAATTACATATTAAGTCGAGTTTCATTTTATCTAAGTTAGTTTTACTAAAGTTTCTATACATTTTAGTGGTTATATTTGTCTTTGTTGTTATTACTAAGATTAACAGATATTATAGAATTGTCACTAATTTTCGGTGTATGATGAACGGTAGCATTAACAAAATTATTATTAACTAATACATAATCTATCAAAGTTTTACTATTATTTGTAATTCATGTAGGCTCAGTGATTAATTGGTCAATTCCATATTGTAAAAACATTGTTTTAATTTTATTACTATAAAAACAGTCATTTGTATAATCAAACAGCGTTAATTATTAGCAAAAATAGAATCACATATATTTTCCAAACTGTCCAAAAATACAGTATCAGAATTTGATGGTGAATGGTAGAGACAACCCATTAACCATTGATAACCACTAAGATCAAGTTTTATTACTTTGCACCAATAATTTGGCTCAAGCACAAAGGTCTTAGCAACAGAAAATTTTAAATTATCCTTCACGTAAATTATGACCCCCCTGTGCTTCGGTTTGAGGAGTTACATCTGATCAGATTATACACAACGATTTTAATTTCAGATTCTTCAATTTTCTTGGTAATTCTTGCTTCACTTATAAAAATTATCTTAGGACAGTAACATAATAAAGTTATTTGAATTTCATCGATTTTGTTAAGTAAACTGGGCATTTAAGTAGAGTATATCAATATTAAACGGAATATTAGGGTCCTTCGCTAGTTTTTTTTGTCTTGGTGTTACATCTTTATTAACAATAGTGGGGGTATTATTAATAAACTTTATCGTCTTTGAATTATCACTCTGAGTAATAAGATCATCTAAAGTAGACTTAATATTCTTAAAATATTGCTGTTGCGCCTTAGTTTGGTCAGATGCAATTTTAATTCCTGGTATATTTACTAATTTATTTATTTATTTTTTTAAAACAAGTTTGGCATCTTTGGGTGAGTTCAATATAACTTTTATTGGACGAATTTTATTAACAGTACATTTACCCAATCTAAACAGCTTTAACGTCTCATAAATTTTAACTTCAATTTACCCAATTTGAATGCAACATCCTGTACATCATTTTAGCATTAAATTCATTATAAATTTACCTAACTAACGATACCATCATGTTAGCCTATTGTACATATACAGGGTGTCTCAGCAGTGCTTAATTGATCAATAGCTGTTTTATTATTAAAGATACGAAGATATTTTTAAGTTGTATGACCATATTTTCAAATTATTCCTAAGTATACAGGAAAGTTCATAAATGAGTGGTGGAAAAACTTATACTGTTTTAAAATAAAACCCCCTTGTATAACAAATTTATTTGTTCTCACATTGTCAAACGTTTCTAAAAATTTTTTTTTTCATTCATTCATTTGCTGCTTTGTATATAGGGTGTGTCAAAAGTAGTTTATGGGTGTGTTGAGCACACTTTGACCTTTGATCCCCAAGAACTGCACAGGCGCGACATGTGTTGCCAACTGGCAGCTGTCAATCCAGTGTTGCAACCTGTCAGCTGTCAACCCTGAGTTGTCTACTGTTGGCAAACCTAACAAAAGTGTTGACAACCTAACCTGCCATTTGCAACCTCAGGATGGCGACATGGGATGGGGGAGTGAAGACGTAATGCCACCTGTCAGTGGGTCGACTCAGCTTGCAACACGACTAAGCAATCCAACATGGCTGCTCGCTACTACCGAAAGTCACCATGAGATAGCGCCACGTGTTACCTGTCATATACCAATAGTCACAACTTTCATTGAATAGAATCAAACAGAAAAAATGAGGGAGTGGGGGGAAATTACATGCGTTGAATAAAATCAAACATAACAAAATGGGGGAGTGGGGGAAATTACATCCGTTGAAAATTCCTACGACGTGGCTGTAAGGACCTAAGTCGTTGGTGCATTTTAAATGGGGGAAATTACATGCTTTGAAATTTTCACATTACTGTCTATATATACCGTATGGTTCAAATGAAAGGAATAAATTCATTATAATAGAAGTAGTTGGTTTTTCGAAAAAATGCTCGGACAGGTCAATTTTGTTTACTTAAAGCGCAATTTTTTAAATAAAATTTAATTTTCCCCCACTTCCCATTTTTGGGCAGTGACGTCATTGACAATTTTTTTAAATAGCAACCCCAATTTTTTTTCTTGATTTTGATAGATCTTGCAATTTCCTACATGGACACATAATATTTGAAATATCTGACATAACAATTTTTTTTTAAAAAAAGTCTTTTAAAGATCAGATACATAAATTTTATGTTATTTTGAAACACAATAAATTAATAAAAGATAATTATTTGTAATTAAGTGCTTAATCTAAAATAATAATAATAATAATAATAAAAAGAATTTAATGACAATTTCACAAATTCTTTTTATTATTATTTTGTTAGATTAAGCATTTAATTACAAATAATTATCTTTTATTCATTCATTGTGTTCTCAAAATAAAATAAAATTTATGTCTGATCTTTAAATGTCTTCTATTAAAAAAAAATTGTTATGTAAGATATTTCAAATATTATGTTTCAGAGTAGGAAATTGCAAGATCTATCAAAATCAAGAAAAAAAAATTGAGGTTACCATTTAAAAAAATTGTCAATGACGTCACTGCCCAAAAATGGGAAGTGGGGGAAAATTGAATTCTATTTAAAAAAAATGCGCTTTGAGTAAACAAAATTGACCTGTCCGAGCATTTTTTCGAAAAACCAGCTACTTCCATTATAATGAATTTATTCCTTTCATTTGAACCATACTGTATATATTTACCTATTTTTTCTTATTTTTACAGCTAGAAAAAAACAACTTGCAGTCGCAACTCTTTTAACAAGTGTTTCAATCTGTCAACCTTCCTTCAGCTGTACCACACCTCAACACCAAGTATCTACAAAACAGCAGATTTTCGAAAAAGGTATGTAATATTACTAATAATAATTATGGTTCTTTAGAAGCGAATATTTTTTAAAAATAATTTTAATTTGTACGTTAAATTTTTGTTTTGAAAAATAATTTTAAATTTTAAAAGAAAAAAAAAATATATGAAACCTATTATATTTAACAGAATATCTCGGAAAAAACAAAAAAAAAATTAAAGCAAAAAAAAAATAATTGAAGAGGTTGAGTGGGTAAGTTCTGAAGCTAAGTTAGTTTCTTTTGATGTTAGCAATTTATTCACTTATGTTCCCAGAGAGGAAACATTTTCTATTATCAAGGACCTTACTAAAAAAATAACTTCAACCTTCATTCTATCAATATTATCTTAGATTTACTCAAAATCTGTCTTGACCAAGATTTCTTTATTATTAATAAAACATTCTACAGACAACCCAATGGCCTAGTAATGGGTAATCCTCTAAGTCCTTTGTTAGCAGACTTATTTCTAGACCACTTAGAAACAAAAAAAATTTTTGAATGATTTCCCTAACAATCGAATTTCACACTGGTACAGATATGTTGATGACATTTTTGCAATTATGATTTGTAATTTTACTGAGATTGATGCCTTCTTATTTTTCATTAACAATATCTATCCTAAAATCAAATTCACAGTTGAGCTTGAAGTCAAATCACTTAATTTTCTAGACCTTTCCATCGGTCGTCGGAATAATAAACTTGATATCTACAGGAAACTACTCAAACTGACCATCTAATTAATTTTCACTCTAATCACTCTTATCAACACAAGTTATCAGCCATATATTGTTATGTTCATCGTCTTCTTAATATACCTTTATCTAATCATAATTTTAATAAAGAAATCAACGTTTTAAAACAATTAGCTTTTAATAACAACTACAATCCTTCCATTATTAACATGGTTATCAATAAAGTCACACTCAAGAAAAGGTCCCAACGTGCTTTTAATCCTATTAACAAACCTCCTGCTAATTTTAAATACTTTTCACTACCATATCTCGATCCATCCAATGATGTTGCTGCAGTTTTTAAGGATTGCAACAATATTAAAATTTTCTTTTAAAAATGTTCAATTCTGCTCAATTCTGTTTTCAGCTTGGCACCTCTTTAATTTAATTTTTTTTTTAAATATGTTTTTTACCTTCATTTACTGTATAATTTATAATTCTATTTAATTCATTGTAATCATTGGCTGTTTCAAATTTAAAAGTCCCTCCATAACTTGATCTTGCTTGCTCAGTGGTACCAACCCACTTTTATCATTTTCAATATCAACCTTTTTGACAATTTTTCACCAAATTCATTTCAATTTCTCAAGTTGGCATTTTTGTTGACAACTTCATTGTCAATTGTCACTCATTCTGTTTTGGCACATTGTTAATAGCGTTTTCGACTTAATTGACCTGTAAGTGAACTCGGGTCATATATACACTTTTTAAATGCAACCTACGGGGTAACTAGAGTGCAAATTTTAGTCTTTTAAGTCGAACATATTGCAGATTTTACAGTGCACACGGTTCACACAAATGTCTGAAGGCAGGTTGATAACATAACCTCAAAAGTCGACAGACGCCTTTTCAAGTTTCTATGATGACAGATGCTGTTAAAAGTTAAAGGCAATTTATTAAAAAATATAAAATTGTTAACTTCCCGATTATTCATAAATATGAATCCTGATCACGCAGCTTTCGAGGTATTAATACTTACACCATATAAATTATTTTATTGAACTATTACCTACTTACAATTTTTAGGCAAACAATCAATATATTTGTGGTTATTGCAACTGGCATATGGATCCATACTGCCAGAATTATTTAGATCATGTTTGTTTTGCAACAAAAGCAAAAGTTTACTCTGACACAGGCTTTGAACTTGTGGTAGATGACAACAATATAGTTACAGTGGAGGTGAATTCTGATAGTGAGAGCTTCAAAGTTGACAATTGTAACCACACAGAAAATAACCGTAATAAATTTGAAATTAAATGGACCAGCGAAGAAACAAATCTCCTATTAGACAAGTATGAGAATTATATGATACAAGTGGGACCACAAAAAAAATTTAAAACCAAAAAGAAAATGTGGGAAAAAATAGCCAGTGATGTTAATAATATTTTTAAAAAAGATTATACGCCTGTTCAAGTAGAAAACAGATACAAAACAATACTAAAACGAAAGAAAGAAGCAGTAGAAAACAACAGCCACACAGGAGAAAGTCGTGAGGAAGTACCCTTTGAAGCGGAATTAAGTAAAATTGCTGCACTAGATGATAGCATCCAGCCTGAAGTATTACAATCTGGAAATAATGTGCGAGTATTAAAAACACCAACAAATGCACAGAAGAAAGCTAAGCGTTCAAAAAATAAATCCATAGAGGAAACATTAGAAGAAATTTTCAAACGGAAAGAAGAAAATAAGGAAAGAAGACACCGTGAAAAAATGGCTTTATTTGAAAAATTCTTTAATAAGTAAACATATCACAATTTTGTTATACATACCATATCTTTTGAATTTATGTTAATTTGTTTTTCATAAAAAAATAGAATGTAATTTAAGTTTTGTTGAAATTGAGAAAAATAAAAGTTTATATGTTGGAATAGAACATAGGTGATTTTTGTTTTCTTAAAACAGATCCTATGGGAAATTAATAATAATTAAATTAAGAGATTAAACAAATAAAACAAATCTTCTATTAAGAAAAATATATTTTATTAATCGAAGTAAAAAATATTTTTTTAGTTGAACAAAAATGAATCTTTTAAAAAATTTCTTTTTGTTTCTCCCAACTTTCTCAGTTTATTTTCAGTATCCATGACTAATTCTACACTGTCATCAATATTTTCTGAATGTGTTTCTTCTTCTAAATCATCTTCATTCAGGATACATAAATTGTGTAAAACGCAGCAGCTGATTATGAATTTGCAGATTTTTGGTACATCATGCATGTGAACTTTTGTTAGTTGTCTAAATCGAGCCTTAAGTAACCCAAATGTATTTTCAATTAGTACTCGGGTTGCACAGAATTTCTTATTAAATAATCTTTCACCTTCTGTGAGTTGGCCATAATCCCTGTATGGCGTAAGTAACCACTCTCGGATGTGATAAGCACTGTCACCAAGCAAATGATAGTTTTTTTCACATATATTAGGTAATTTTTGGCTTATATCAGATAACTTAAAAACACGACAATCGTGAATCTTTCCAGGTGCCCCTGTAAAAACATCTATAAAGCATTTTTTATAGTCGCATATTCCCTGTAAAGTTATAGATGGTGTATCATGACGATTCACATAAGTTGATTTCACTTTTTTAGCAGGCATCACAACAGGTATTGATGTTCCATCAATGCAGCCTAGTATTGATGGAAAGTTTGATACAGTATAAAAATTTCTAGACATTTGCTCTTTTTCCTCAGGTGATTCTGGAAATTTTATGTACTTTGGAGCAATTTCAACAATGAAATCCATTACTTTTTCAATTACTTTATGACACGTACTTAGTGCTATTCCAAATCGTTGGCTTACATCACGAAGGGAAGTGTGATTTGCAGCAAACCACACAAAAATAAGAACTTCTTTTTCTGCAGGAGTAATTTTTGTTCCCCTTAACCAAGTCTTCCTATTTCTATATATATTGGAGGTTTCATATTGAGAGAGAAGAATGTTTAGAGAACTTCTACTTAATCGAAAGTTTTTGCGAAACTGAAATATCAAAATGATAAATAGGTACCTTTTTTTTTCAATTTTGAAGAATAAATTACCTCTTTATCAGTAAGTTCATGAATGACATCTTCCATAAATGTCTTTATTTTTGGTACTGCTTCGTTTCCTGGTATACATAATAAATAATAATTTATTTCTTCATCATCAGATGATGATGAAGTTAATAATTCCTCCATGATCTGTATTTTTTGAAAATTGTTCATATTTCGAGGATATGTTTACATTAACGAAACATGCACAAAACACTCACTGTTATAATGCACTGGATTCGCCACGAGGTCCCAAAGCTCGTGCCGAAATATATGCACTGAGTGCAAGACTGGTGTGCACTATTTGGTAAGTCGAACACAAAAAACGCATAAAATGCATCTCTCAAAAATAAGTCGAACATTCAAAATATAATGAGTGCAGCTTAGTGCAACGACAGGGCAGTAAGTCGAAAACGCTATTAGATGGCCACTGGTTTAAAAAAACTCTGTGCGTATTTTTTGTACCCCAACTTGCCTTCGCCTCACGAAAGCAATTGGCAAAATCTTGCTGCCTTTATGTGGAAGACTAGCAGTTTCTTGTTCTCTGTAGTGTCCGGAGCGTTTAGTTCTACATGGTCGGAAGAACCGCCACTTCATTTGTTAAAATCTAACCACATTTTACACTGGGTCAGTTACCGAATTTCAGTGTGGTTTTTCAATTCGCCGTGACTCGGGGCACGCTAACGTGCCGCTAATTTTATCACTAAAGGCACGCTAACGTGCCGCTAATTTTATCACTAAAGGCACGCTAACGTGCTAATTTTACCACTAGAGGCACGCTAAATAAATGCTTGTAGCATCGCATATCAACCTCTATTTTCAAATATTGAGGGAATGAAGGAAGGATAGCTAAGGACAGTTGAATTAGTAATTATATTATGTAACAAGTGAGAAAGAATTTATTTCGTGCGACGTGGTAGTTTAGCACGAGCCGCGTAGCGGTGAGTGTGGAAACGTATCGAGAGCATAAAATATACTTTCCCACGTGTAATGTACACAATTTTTCCTACGACCTCAACTATATAAAGAGTGTTTTAGGTGCTTTGTATAATAAAGTGTTCTCATATGACACCGAAACAAAATCATATATTACAATGTACCACCTCACCAGTATTTTGCATCTTTCTCCATAGATATATAGAGATATCATTTGATTGCAAAACACCTTTGTGTATGGTTGTAATCTATGAAAGCATCAAATAGAGGATTAAAAAAAAACATTAATTTCTCATTCTTTTTATTTGTAGCATAAATTACAAAACCAGGTTTTTTTTTCAGGAACTGTAAGACCAACACATTTTAAATGAAACCAAAAACTATTGATGGCTCATATTGTCCCAGATTCTCAGAGCAAATTCTGCAAAACCATTCATTGGCTTCTTTTTTTTGTTTAAATTTAATTTCAAATAGATTCCAGGCTTGAGATGTGAAATACATTTTCAATCATTTAATGGAATTGCATCATCTAATAATAAATAAAAATTCCTTATTAATTTAGTTTACTTTTTCATGTGTCTTCTAAAGTTTTTTTGACCAGTAAGTGTACAAAGTTTTTTATTCTATTTTTTTTAGTAATGATGATGATGATGGCTTAAGAGGCTCAGACGAATTATTTTATAGAGTTTTATTGAATAAAACTCAATATTTACACACTTTAAATACCCTCTCGCTTCATTTCTTATAAAAAATAAGTTTTATTGAAATTTTAAAAAGTGTTTGCTTAAGTAAATAGTTACTTTAAAGTAAAAATAATAGAAGGATATTTAGAATAGTTTAATTTCTTGAAGAAAAAAGAATTATAAGTTTTAAATTTAGTTCAAAAGCAAAAATGTTTTATTTTTTAAACAATACCTACAAATTTTAACGTAGAAAATTAGTGTAAAATTACATAATAATTTTTAGTAAATAGATACAAAAATTACCGTAGAAAATAGTATAATTTTAGCAGGTTTGTTATTGAAAAATTAAAGGTAATAGTATACAGAAATTACATTTTTTAATTCATTCTGTTAATAGGTTTCATATATTTTTTCTTTTAAAATTTAAAATGTTTGGTTTCCCCTCATTTATAAACTACCATGTATATTTAAGAATAATTATAAAATATGGTTTAAAAACTTTTATATTAAACATTTCTTCATATCTCTAATAATAAAATAGAATTAGTTTTTTGACTAAATAAAGAGATATATAAAATATCTATCGATCAATTACCCACTAATTGGGCACCCAGTATATGTATAATTAAAACACTGTATAAAATGAACAAATTCTTTCATTATACTGCCGTGTTAATTCAAATGGTCGTAACTGCAATTTTCCTTGAAATAAAGATACGGCCACTACGCCTGACAACAATGAATTTTTTGTTTATCTCTATAATTTTCATGAATACATATTCTATAAAATCCGAGATTTAACGCTTAGAAATTTGGGCGTAAGTGAGTTTTCTTGAAAAATCGATTTTTCTCATGTTCATATAAAAACAGATACGGCCATTTGAATTAACACGGCAGTATAGCTGTCCTTATAAGTTGAAAAATATTCTAGTGATAAATACAGTATTACCATGCCACTCAAAACTGAAATAACATACAGGGTGTTCCATTTAAAAACATGTTTTTACTATCCAGGCTAAAGCGTAACACCCTGTGTATCCAAAAATTTTGTGTCTGTAATACAAATTGAAATATCAAGCAATTATGCACTAATGGGACAGCCTGTATAGAACTACGACGAGAATTTACATCTTTTTTTATCCTTTCAGACTTCCTTTTAAACTACTCTTGATTGTTTTTGACTCCCCATCTTGAATGGTCCAACAGTCCCTACAAGATTTTGACATGGTGGCTGTAGCTTCATTCGATATCCTACTTTTTTTTATTTATTTATTTTATTTTTCCTCATTTATTCCACTCTCTAGATAGGCTTCCGAAAACTTATAGTCTTAGGTCAACCATTCATGAAGTGCTTGACCTACCTTGATTGATAAACGAATTTATAGGTACACCGTCAGCCAGCGGCCTGGTAATATACTTTTTTGACATCAGTACTTAACATAGTCTTTTTGTGTTAACTTCTGTCTGTATTTATAATCACCCTGTATATATAATAGCTATTCCCCAGAATAATTTTATATATTTTCATTGTATATCGCCTATGACATTGATGAACGTCCAAACTTCTAAATGTTTGTATACCAATGGGCCAGAGTGTATAGTTGGCATTAAAGCTTGGGCAGTGAAAGCGTTAATGAGGTAGCTCCTATTGAAGTGCGTCACTATAAGTCTAAACTGCCCTGGTTTGACTATGAAGTATATAATAAAATGAGATATGGCATATAAAGATTTTGAAAAATCCACTAAGTGGAATATTTTTAAATATCATAGAAATAGAGTCGCAAATTTAGAAAAACAAAAAAAGAATATTATTTTGATAAAATTGATAGATATCTATAGATGAAATCCTAAATATATGTGGAAAACTTTAAAAAAGTTAGTTAATGGCAATATTTGCATAACAATCTGAATAATGCATATCTCTTTATTTAGTCAAAAAACTAATTCTATTTACATATACAGCATACATAGTAATAAAAAAAAAATAATAAAAAAAATAGTACAAGTACAATAATTTTTACAAACTAATTCTTTTCACATATACAGTATATAAAGTAATAAATAGTATAACATGGAGATTTTTATAAAAAATACATTACACATAAACGAAAATTAAATT